AGGGGACACTCGCATGGCAGCCGCCAACGCACAGGCTTCTTGGAGAACTGGTGCGGGATGGGGAAACTGGCTCTGAGATGCCTATCAGTTTCCTGAGTTCAGCTGACTTGGTGGCAAGGCCACGCAGGCCTCGATGGGAAGACGTGGACCTGACCCTGAGGTTCGCGTACTGAGGGAAAGCTAAAAGGCAGGGAGAGGCTCCGGGGCAGGAGGCCACGCCAGATAGAGCAGAGGTGAGAGAGGGGCTGGGAGGGGCCCAGGCACACACCTCGGGGTGCGTACATGGGGTGCAGGCAGAGGGGCCTTGGAGCTACACAGAGGAAGGACGGGTGAGAGGTGCAGCCAGTTCCAGCTTTGTGGGCTTCCTGGAGGGGGTGACCCAGGAGCCACCAGGTGGATGGGAGAGAGGCCATGTGAGGGGGCCACGGAGATGGACCTGGAGAGGCCAGGAGGCCAGGAAGGGGCCCTGAGAACACAGATCTGGAAGGAGAAGGAGAACCCCCCCGAGAGGAAGGAGGGTGACCGGGAGAGAAAGGCGGTGAGGCTGGTGAGAGGAGGCTGGAGAAGGGGTCCCTCAGTCTGTGACACAGAAGTCCCAGGTGACCTCAGAAAAAGGCATTTTGGGGAGAGACCAAAGTCTGCTGCCACGGACAAGGCTCTGGGGTGTGGGGAAGGAAGGGGACACGTGGATTCAGCTCCTGAGGGCAGTCCGCAGAGCCCGTGGGGGTGCGGCCCGTGTGCTGCAGGAGCCTCCATGAGCTCTAGCTGCACCTGCTGTTCTTCACTTGCCAAAATGCGCTAGCAGGAAAATGCCTTATTTTCCGAATCATAGATACAATTTTTACGGTAAGGTGGGATGATAGGAGATGAGAAGAAATTGGGGGACAGGGGTCTCGAACCATCGCTGGTTGAGAAGAAAGCAGCAGGGAGGCAGAGGAAGGTGGAAGAGGCAGGTGCCTACACTGGAAGGGGCCAGATCCAGGCCCCGGCTGGGAGAGACCCACCCACAGGCTGGAGGGGCGGCAGGTAGACAGCCGGATGCAGCTAGAGTGATGGTGAGCGGGGAGCTGGGACTGCAGGAGCCCTGAGGCCAAGCAGCCCCAGTCCCCAGTGAGCCCGGCCAGCACTGTCAGCCCCAGGTGGCCAGCAGTGACAGCCTCCTCCTGGGTGCCGTCCCCAGGACTCCCCCCTGAAGGCCGTGCAGATGCTCTGGGTGAACCTCATCATGGACACCTTCGCCTCGCTGGCGCTGGCCACTGAGCCGCCCACCGAGACCCTGCTGCTGAGGAAGCCATACGGCCGCAACAAGCCCCTGATCTCGCGGACCATGATGAAGAACATCCTGGGCCACGCCGTCTACCAGCTCACCCTCATCTTCACCCTGCTCTTCGTCGGTGAGTCCCCGCCCTGCCCACACCCCTCGGCAGCAGCTCAGAGCCTCCAGGGGATCCCGGGGCCCAGCTCCCACGCTGCGCATGCACCTCTGCCGTTCTATTTAGCGAACGGAAACACTGAGGTGCAGAGAAGTCAAGTGAGTGGCTCAAGGTCACACAGCAAGTGTCAGGCAGAGCCAACCCAGTGCTAGCCAGGACCACCCCTGGCAGTGAGCACACACGAACAGCCGTACTGGACAACGTGGGGTGGGGGGGACCCCGGCAGCCTATGGGAGTCGAGGCTCAGAGGAGGAGAGAGTGGCCTCTTCTCCAGCCCTTCCAAATGCCATGGACGGTATCCGGCCACGTGTGACCACCAGCTACCTTCCCAGTGCTTGCACGTAGGCCCCCTTGTTCAGACCTACTAGGCACCCCACGAGGCAGACAGCATTGCCTCCGCCCATGCTGCTGATGGGGCTCCAAGGCCCGGGAGTGGAGGGTGGGGTGACTTGCTCCAGAGCACACAGCCAGTCTGAGGAGGAGCCTGGGCAGAGAATCGGGTCTGGCTTGGGGCTGAGCCTGGCCTAGTTTCTGTGAATGCTTCGGACATGATCCTAGCAAAGCCTGCTGCAGAGTCATGGGAGAAAGCCAAGGGCCAGGGGAGAGGCATGGAGGGCAGGCTCCTGTTTGCATCCTGGTAACCCCGCATGGCACCAGTCTACTCTGGGGCTCTGGGTTTGGGCTAGACATCTCACACTCTGATGATTCCACAGCCCCCAGCTCCGGGTCACTCAGCTTTGCAGCAGGAGACAGAGTGGCCTCAGATAGTCTGGCTACCCCTCGCCCCCACCACATGAGCACTCAGGCCAAGGGAACAAGGCCACATGACTAGGTCCAGGGCCAGCCCAGCCCAGAAGCCCAAGCCCTGCATGAAAGTCAGTATCTCTTGGAACGACCTCATGAGCATCCAGAGGTCTCAGCCAGGCCTTGCTCAGTTATAAGCAGCAGCACCTTCGGGGAGCCCAAAGTCCAGCCTCCCACAGGTATTCCTGTCCTCCCAGTCCAGACACGCTTACCAGGCTAGGGTCCCTTAGCTGCCATGTGGCCTGGTAACACAGCTGGCCTTCCACCTCTATCAGATTTGCACAGCAAAGTGGAAGCCAGTCCCCGAGGCCATGCGCATCAGAGGGGACAGTGTCGTGCTGGCCCTTCACTGCACCGAACAGCCAACAGCACAGGCCCCCCTCAGTCCCCCACCATCCAGGCGTGCCTTCCTGTTGAAGGGCTGCCCCCTCTGCTCAGAAGATTCGGCCCCCGGAAGGGCCAGCGTCTCCCCCAGCCACGGCCCTCAGCCCCGCCCCGTCCTCTCCCTTGGCAGGCGAGAAGATGTTCCAGATCGACAGCGGCAGGAACGCGCCGCTGCACTCGCCGCCCTCGGAGCACTACACCATCATCTTCAACACCTTCGTCATGATGCAGCTCTTCAACGAGATCAACGCCCGCAAGATCCACGGCGAGCGCAACGTCTTCGACGGCATCTTCCGGAACCCCATCTTCTGCACCATCGTGCTGGGCACCTTTGCCATCCAGGCAGCCGGGCCCCCACCTGAC